AAGTGATTGTGAAATAGAAAGTGACACTCCAATTTTTTTTTTTTTGAGTTCTTTTGAAAAATATCACATTACTTGTTAAATACCTAAAATTGACTATTAAATTTGGGGACGTCACTTCTAAGTTTCCTTTATTTGACTGCTAAACAAAACAATAAAAAAATTGCATATAATAATTTAATCCCTCATCTTTCAGAAAATTCGCCCAGTGGCGCCTAGAGATGGTAAGAAGTCAAATAAAAAATTTGGAAGTGACACTTCCTAATTTAATACTTTGTCGGTTACCAAATACAAACAATAAAATGGCAGAAAATTTTTATTATCAAATATAAACAATATTATAAATTTAAATAAATACTTAATACAGCATGATGTTTATAAATTCACTTCTCATAATTACCCATTCAACCATTCATTTCATTCAACTATACCCAACTACTTTATATTTTAGTAATTTGAGCAAAATTGGGAAAACAAAATATATTTTTCAAACATAAAATATATTTTTAAAACACTTCCTTGATACAGTGATCTTTCAATTCAGATGTATAAACCTGCTCCATGATACAACATTTTACACAATGTCACACAATATTGTTATGATCATTTATGTGCAGCAAACTTAATAAATTCATCCACTCTATTCAAGTATTCTTTTATTAATTAATTGAAAGATATTCTTTTTTCAGTCCATCTTCCAGATATAAAACAATCATTTTAAAAAATTCTAATTAATGACTCATTGATATTTCCTAAATTAGTGGAAGATAAAAAATTATAAATTATTTAATCTTTCAATCACAAGTCACACTTGTTTCACACATGATCTCTTTTTAAGTTTTGTAGGTACATATTTAAAGGTTAAATTTTTAATCGTCAAATATTAGCTTCCTCATTTTTGGCTTCCCTTGATTCAATTTTTTTTATGTAATCATCAAATATACATGTATCAAGTGTTTTAAAACTTGCTTTAGTGATCAAACAAAAGAAGCTTAGGAGAACCATTATCTAATTTAGAAGCCTATCGCTCAAAAATAAATTTTTAATATATAATTTTGCAACTGAAAAAAAATGGTATAAAAATATAGATAGATTTTTTTAAATTTCCCATTATGCCCCACAGCACACTCTGCTTGCTTAGTACCCTTTTTTAAAAAATCGGTGCCACTTATTACCCTTTTCTCTTGTGATTTTCTGAACTGTGGAAGTCTAAGCCTTAGGTTTTCGTGAATGCAAGTTCCGACGCCAACAAATCATGGCACGAGAGAAACAGAGAATAAGGTCAGTCCAACTTAATACTTTATCCGTTTTAAATTATAAAATATTTTTAAAAATAATTTATATTTTAACAAAAATAAAATTTTATCAATAAATTTTTTTTAACATTATCCTTCTTATTATATTCTATCTTTTTAATATTTTTTCATAAATAAAGTATTAAGTGTTTGGAATTTTTAAAAATTTATATTTATAGTTTGAAAAAATAAAATTATAATGTGTATTTAACGAGTTTTATTGGTGTGTATAACTTTATTTAAAAGTATCTTATAATTTAAAATGAAAAGAATATTTATTTATCTTGAATTTAAATAAAAGTTACTCTCTTTATTTCAAATTATAAGACACTTTTGAAGAAGTTTTTTAGTTTCAAAATATAAGATACTTTAGGTAGATTAAAGTTTCATTAAATACATCAATTTCAATATTACTTTTTCTATTTTTATATTAATTTTCATATCTTTTCTTTTTAATTTATTAAATAATAAGTATTTTTAAAAGTTTATATTAAAAATAAGATTATTATATGTATTTAATAAGGTTTATCGATATATAAAATTTTATTTAAAAATATTTTATAATTTAGAACAGAGGAAGAATTGCAAAAGTGTGTTATTAATTGCATGGTTGAGTTGGGTTTTAAAAGTTGAAGGGTCTCATTTCATTGAAACAAAATAAAGATTGAAACGTTGATAATTGGGTTGAGAAATTTAATTAGAGTTTCCATGAAGGCAATGGTTTAGTTTGCGTGGTAAAGAAAGAAGGGCTGCGTAGGATGAAAGAGATGGAGAAAGAGGGGAGAGAAGAGTCTTCTTCTGATGAGACTGTACGTTTTGTATTGGCATTACTATTTGATTGTGCCCCTCGCCGACGACAGAGAACCCAAGACAATGCATGCAACACCAATCATAATTCATTTCACTCTCTTCTCTTCAATAGTTTGAGAGAGGGGGAGAGAGATTTTGTTCGAGGGATTGACCAAAAGCAACGAAAGGGTTAATTAAAATTTAAAATGTTTAGCTCAGATTTCATGTGTAATACTCCCCCACTTTCCCATTCATAAGATACCTTTTAAAAATATTTTTTTAGTTCAAAATATAAAATATTTTATAATAATTAAATTATTTTTTAATTAATATAAAGATATTTAATGTAGTTGTATTATTATTTAAAACTAAAGAGTAACAATAAAGGTACATACTTTTTACATACAAAAATATAAAGCATTTTTAATTTTTTGAGATATAATTATTACTTTTTTTAAAGTGTCCATATTGGTAATGATTTTATATTTATTATAGGTTGTTTAATAGAGATAATTATAAAAAAATAGAGTTAATTTTAAAGTATATAATTACTTTATTGAGAGTGAAATTTGATTAAAAATATTTTATATTTTTGAACGGAAAGAGTATTATTTTTTTATGATATAAAAAATAACTTTTTTTAATATAGATGAGACAGTTAAAAATATTTTATAATAATGAAAAAAAAGTAAAGGATAATGCAATATGATGAAGAGAGAAACAGCCATGCTTAAAGTTGGCCTTGTCACTTGCTAGCTCCATTGCCTCTGCTTGTGACATGAATAATCTTTCATTTATTCACCCTACTGCTAAAGCCACCTTCTTTCTAAATCATTTGGTTGGGTTAGGATTTTACTATGAGCTTACTACCAAAATCAAAGCATGTTTTACAACTTTAAACACACTTATTTACTTCATTTGGTCAAGTCTTCTCTAATACTTCATTCGTCTTAAAAGTATGAGAGCCTTTTAAATAAAATAATACATATTAATAAAACTTATTAAATATATTTTATAATTTTATTTTTTTAAAATAAAAATATAAACTTTCAAAAGGTGTATAAAGAGAGTAAGTTTTAATAGTTCATTAATCATGAAAGAATATTAAAGAAAGAGAATATAATAAAAAAAGTGATATTAAAAAAAGTATTATCAATGAAATATTATAATTTAGGATAAATGGAGTACATTTTAAAGGAATTTGGGAAAACATTAAAATTCACCTGTCTATAAATTTAAGGAAAAATATACTTGTAGGTCCTTATAAGTTTACTTAATTTTAAATTAAGTCCCTATAGTTTATTTTATTTTAATTAAGCCCTCATAATTTCATCTATTATATATATTGACTATTAAACGTTAAAATTAATAATGAATTATTAAATTTTACAAAACAAAAATACTCTAAAAGTTTGCAGAAAAAATAATTTAACATTTTTAGCCAAAATAAAAGAAAAATAAAATTTGACTGATTTAATCCGCTGTTTTAATTTTTTTTATAAAAATTCTGTTAAAAAATATTTAGAATATAATTATATAAATTTTGAGTTATAAAAATTATATAATTAATTCTAAAGTCATATAATAATTTAATAAAATATAAAAGTTTTTAATCTTGTTTTTTTTTTAAATGTAAGGATTTTAACTTTCAAGAATTAAAAAATTTAATTGGTTAAATTATAAGGGTTCAATTAAAATAAAATAAATTATAAGGACCTAACTCAAAATTGAGTAAATCTGTAAGGACCTATAAATATGTTTTTCATAAATTTAATAATTTTATAACTTTATCTCATTTATATATATAGTTTAATAATATTTTTTTTAACATATAATGAGAGGAAAAAGTAAAATTTTGTAATAAAAATTTAATGATGCTTCGATCAAAAAATAATAATGATGCTAATTCAATGAGGATAATTTTTTTCTATAAATGCTTAAGATAATGGGTAGATGTTTTTTGACATTTAGACCTAAAAGAAGACTATCATAAACAGGTCAGGGATAATATTTTCTCATGGATTAAAATGAATTTCTCCCATTAAATATAAGACATTTTTAACTAAACATACCAACCAACAAAAAACTGTTAGGTATTTAAGATTTCAATTTTTTCTCCTTTCTAATTTTACTTTTCTTTAATACTACCAATAATTGTCAATTATTTATCAGATAGGATGCATGTAATTTTGATATACTCGAGAAATATTTTAGAAAAAAAATATTAATTTCTTTTAAAACTATATGACTTACGTCATATATTCTTTTTATATGGCTATCTAAGTAACTCATATTTAAATATTTTTGAATTTAATTGGGAGATAGTTTTTCTAAAAAGTGTTTTTTGTATTCACACTCTAAATATCATGACCATTCCCACCAACACCAACATCTACACCTAATGGTAATTATCTCATACTCTATTTTATTTATAAATTAATTTTAATATATTTTATCAAAATTAAATTTAACTTTAAACTTCATTAATTTTATCTTAAAATTTAATAAGTTTACATTTCTACCTTTAACAAGGATAAAATAATTATTTTAAATAATTTTTAACATTTAATAACGATAAAAAAAACAAAAAAAAAAACGGAGTGCCTAATGAGGTCAAAATTAACTTTCTTTCTGTTTTGTAAATAGGATAAGAGTATGTCGCATCATAGAATTCCAGGCACTACAGTGATATACCTTATATTTGAAAAGAACAGCATGTTGTTAACAATTTTACAAATTATAACGTTTTAATAAATAGAAATCATGACTTGATTAGGCAGTAGTAACTAGTAAATATAAATATATGTAAATATTAAATATTTAAATATTATTTTACGAAAGTTGAGGAGGCAAGGTTGGGAGGGAAATGGGTTATAATATAGCATCACTTCATTCTACAGCAGCAGTGGCGGTGGTTAATCATCAAGAGCGCTTATTTTGATGTAGACTCTGTATAAATGCAGGGACTTTGCCGTTCTTCTTCTCTTCTCTCCTCTCTCCCTCCCTCTTTCAAATGCAGACTTTGCTTCATTTGGGAGCCTCTCTTCTACTTTCTCCTTCCACTTTTCCCTTTTCTCACCAGAAGGAAAAAAAATTCCCACCTTTGAATTTCTCTCTCGCTTGTCTGAGACTGAACAGAAGCACAGCACAGGCTTGTTAGCTAGAAACTGGAAGAGTTTGATCAAGCCCAAAATGAATTCAATAAAGTTGCTGAGTGAAAAGGCGTTAATGGAGGCCAGAGTACCAAAAGTAGCACCGAATCATAAATGGGTATCTTTCTCTTCCCGCTTTTAGCTGGGTGTTTCTCTCTCTCTCCTCTCTCCCCCCTCTCTTTTTCAGAGTTGGGTTCTGCAACTCTGACTAGGGTTTGAATGGGTATTTATTAAGCTGTAATCAATGTTTATTTTGCTTAATTGACTGCGTCTATACTCTCTAGACTTTTTCTAGCTCTCCTTTGAACGGTCTTTTTCTGCCTCTCTCTCTTGGGTTGGCTTCTTTATGAAATTCGGTACTTCAAGTTCAGTGGTTAGCTTTGGAAATGGTAGCTGCCAAAGTCGTGTGAGCTTTTAGTAAATCTTTTTGGTACTTGGGGTCTCGTTCCGGCGCTTTTCCAATTCTTCAGCTCATTAAGTGCGCACTTGATCTCTCTCCAACCTGCTTCTTCCCTTGTGAACTGGCCTCGTATACTCATCAACTTTTACCCCTCTTTTGGATGGATTCAGACTTCGACAAGTCGCTTTGTTCTATCATTTTCAAAAGAACTGTGGTTTAAAGGCTTGTCCGGAATTCAGCTCAGGGTCAGTCTGGTTTGGATTAAGAGATTTAATTTCTCAGTTCATTTCTGTTACTTCTCCTCTCTTTATCACTTTTGAAGGTTCTTTCGTCAGATTTTCTCTGTTTTTCTTAGTTGTTCTCAAGGAATCATAACAGAGACTCTCCTAGAGGCTGCTTTGGTGTACTTGTTCAGGGGAGTTGGATATGTGTGACAAAGAGAGTTTTGAGATAGATGGAAACGAGGATCACATGAGTTATTCATCTAGTATGCCCTCGGATTGGAGATTTGTGGTTCCTAATCTTGCAAACACATCAGTGGGTTTGGTGGATTCATATGTTCCGAGCTTCTGGGATCATCCCATCAGTTCCCAAAACTTAGGGTCATGTGACATCAATGTGCAGAACAATGTTAGCTCCTCATGCACAACTGGAAATAGAAAAGATGGCCTCGCCTTAGCTACTCATGATAGAACACTTGAAATGGGTTGGAACCCAACAAGTTCTATTTTGAAAATGGATGCTTTCTTACCAAACAGACCAACAACAATCTTCCCACAGAGTTTGTCTCAGACTCCCACTGATTCTTCCTTTATTGAGCGAGCTGCAAGATTCTCATGCTTCAGTCAGTTCAATGGAGGAAATTTTGGCAGTATGGTGAACTCATTTGGGATTCCTCATTCGACGGGTCTGTATTCTGGACGGGATGCTCTTGCAGGCCATGGGTTAAAATCAGCACATGGAGCACTATCTCAAGAAAGTTATCTGGATGTTGGTGAAGCTGCAAAAGATGTGTCTCCATCTGTTCAAAATTTGGCTGCTAAAGGAAGTCCACTCAAGAATCACAAGAGAAGTGAAAGCCTAGTAACTTCTCACGATGAAGCAAAACAAGCTATTGGCAGGTCAACTGATGAGTCTGATAGAGCAGAATCAAGTGGTGATGGTGGTAGTGGTGGTCAAAATGATGTGCAGATGTTGGAGGGTACTAGCGGAGAACCTTCTAACAAAGGACTAAACGCAAAAAAAAGGAAAAGAAGTGGGCAGGTATAATTTTGAGCTGTATTCTATGTACATATGTAACTATTTTCCCCTTATCTGTGTGATTATATTTATATATTCGCTGGTTAATTTTGGTAGGATTCTGATAATGGAAAAGCCAATGGAGGTTCTGAGCCGCCAAGCGAGGCTGCGATGGACAACCCTGAGGGCCAACAGAAGGGAGACCAGCAACCAACTTCAACGGCCAAGACTTCTGGGAAGGATACCAAACAGGGCTCTCAAGCTTCTGACCCACCAAAGGAGGAATACATACATGTCAGGGCTCGCAGGGGTCAAGCAACGAATAGCCATAGCCTTGCTGAGAGAGTAAGATGTTTAATATTACCTACGATGTGAAGAAATGGAACATACTTTTGGATGAGGTATTTTACATTAGATAGATATTAACTGTAGGTAAGGAGGGAAAAGATCAGTGAAAGGATGAAATTTCTTCAAGACCTTGTACCTGGATGCAGCAAGGTGACTGCTAAATCTTGTAACTTTGAAAGCTTCTTAGTTATATCCTTACAGGATTTTAGAGTCGCTTTCTTTAACATGTAAGCCTGTTGCTGTTCCCAGGTGACAGGCAAGGCGGTTATGCTAGATGAAATCATTAACTATGTACAGTCACTTCAACGACAGGTTGAGGTAGGTGTAAAAGCTATGTTATCCTCCCTTTTTGCTCACTCAGTAACTCTTGAATTATCTTGCTGATTTTTCCTGTATTTTTGGTCCTGCTTCCGCATTTTATGACTGTTAACAATGTATTGAATGATCGTTCATGATGGCTTCATTTTGGAAGATTGTGAATATAAATAAGACAAACTCCAACAAGTATGTTTTACATATATCAATATCCTTTATATACAAGTGGTGTTTCCATTAGCTTACCTGTGAACCTATTGAAGTTGACCCAAAATTCTTTTCTTTTGGCAGTTTTTGTCTATGAAACTTGCAACCGTAAATTCACGGCTGGATTTTAATCTTGAAGGACTTGTTGCTAAAGATGTAAGATTTTAGAATGTGTGCAGCCATGAGGTAAAACTTTTTACTCATTGATCCATCCCTGACTGACCTTTGTGCAATCCAAAATTTTTTGTCAGATGCTTCAGCAACGGCCTGGCCCCTCATCAGCATTGAGGTTTTCTCCAGAAATGCCAATGGTTTTTCCTCCTTTACATCTGTCTCAACCAGGCCTTCTACCGTCAAATCTTCCTTGCATAGCGAACTCATCTGATATACTTCGAAGAACCATTCATCCACAGCTAACTCCCTTGGTTGGAGGATTCAAGGATCCTAATCAGGTATTGATCCATTGCTGAAAGTTTAACCTCACTTGCACCTTCTTCTTTTTTAGTTTTTCATTTTTTAGTTGTTGTTTAGCTCAATCAAACTCCCCATATTTGGTTGGTGCTGCACACTTAAAATTAGTTAAAATCACAATTAATAAACAGAAATCCCTTGCAATAGACTTCACAGCTTGAGAGTGACGTAGAGTATCATCAATCAACGTAGCTTAAAAATTGTGTTACAGTGGCCTTATGCAAACACAGCAATTTCTGCAAGCTTCTGTGAAATAACTCTTATTTTCACTTGGTTGGTCTAACTCTGCTTTACATTCTTAATGTGCATATTTTGATTCAATTCACGAAAGCTACCTGAGATGTGGGAGGATGAACTGCACAATGTTGTACAGATGAGCCATGCACAAACTGCTCCACCGAGTAGTCAAGAGGAAGATGGTATATTTTCCTCAACAACTAAGCCTTTATGTGATATTTGGTATGTGGAAATTTTAATTTGACTGTAAAATAAATGAAGGATTTTGAACATGTGCTGTTGGAGCCTTAAATAAATAGGAATGTTGTTTTTCATATATTTCATCTTTAACCTTTTTTATGATAAAAAATAGAGTGGGCCCTGTGTACTTGTACGGAGTTCAGGATAAGCCAAACTGTATAATGTTTTGTAAATAGTGTGATGTGGCACCCTGCATTTCCCCCCCTCTATTTTACATTGATTTTTGACTACTTGGAAGATTAATTTTTAATGATCTTGTAGCCTAGTGGCATGCAAACTCCCTTGTAAGCTTGAGATTGCAGGTTCGATCGTGCTTATAATCTCAGGTCGCTAGTGTCTGCCCTTCTAATTAAAAAAAAAATTAAAATTAAAATTTTCACGGACCAAATGACACTGCATATGGAAGTTACATTTTCATGAACTAAAGCAACTTGCTTATGTTCTGACAGGTAATGCAGCAGCAGGTGAGATGAAAGTTGAACTATGAACGTGATGTCCAGTCTAACATTGCATCTCTTTTAGTGTGTAGTCAGATGGGACTTGACAGTTGTTCCTCTGACTTGCCAAACATGGAAGGCAAGGCCAAGTTTAGGTTAGAGGAAGTAGACAAGTATTCATAGATTTTCTTTCTTGGAAGCATGAAAATACATATAAAGCATATATGTTTATGAGTGTTAGTGCCTCCACAGAAGCAGGTTTTGCTCGCTAAGTATATATGCATTTTGATTCAAGAATGTAAAGATGGAAAGTCAGTTAGATTGCAAGAAGGAGGAGGTACTAATGCAGAGCTTTGCCTTGTTAATGCAAAATCCTCATGGATCTAAGATCTTCTGAAGTTTGAAAACAGGATGTGAATAAGAGGTGAGATCAGCTTCTGTCACATGGATGCTACAAAAGTGAGGTTTCACCTCTCCATTCTCTCTCTCAAGTTTTAAAATTTCTAGTGAAGTGTATCTCTTCAAAATCAGGTCATGGTTTTGAGGTAGCTGCTCGCACATAATGTAATGTTGATCTGACCTAGTTTTCTGGCTATATCTCATTCTTTCATATATGGGTTGGGATAATATATGAAATGGGATATAGAACAGAGAAGGGAATGGAATGAAAAAAAAGAAAAGGTGATTTTGTGGATATTAAATGTCTTTTATTCCTGTATATTAAAACAAGAATAAAAATAAACAAGTACTGTTGAGTAATGATAATGGGGATATGATAGATATTTTACATTTCGATTTGCTCGTTGTAAAAAAAGATTTATTTTAGGGTGGCAATACAGAAACTTTTCAGGAGGTCATCTATGATAGTGCCACTCATTTAAGTATTCTGAGCCGCATGATTGTATTATTTATTTTTAGGCTGTAGTTCAGTATAGTACTAGTTCTGATGTGATTGCAATTGAAAAGGAATTCTTTTTGAGAGAATAACAGTTAGATTTTAAAGAAATTAAATAATAATAATTAGGTTCTTGATTTTACAAAATTAATTACAATTATTAATTTAAATGGTTACAAATAAATTTTTTGTTATAATAAAAAAAAATTATATTTGATATTTAAATATTTATTTTCAATTGAAATTTTTGAATTTGTAAAATTTTGGCCTGATATTTTTAACTTATTTTTAAAAATAATTTGTTGAGAATTTAACTGATATTAATTTAATATTTTAAGACCTAATTTGGACACTCATTCTTTTTCATCATTTATATCACATGGAATTTATAAGTGGTATATTGCAAAGTGCAAAACCCTAATTTTTCAACTGCATGATCAAATATCCGCTCTCGAGTTTTGATTATAGCTTCATTTTCCAATGTAATACCTCAATTTATGTCACATTCTAAACAATTTTCCAACCTAAATTATGTTCGTTGTGGAACAGAGGAAGATTTATTGAATGCAAAATTGTCTTGAAAGTGGTATAAATTAAGATGACTTAGAATTTTTTTTTAAAAAAAAAATCCTCAAATGCCTAAACAAAAATTTTAAAACTTTACAAACGGCTCTTGGAAATTTGTAAGGTAGACTGATTGAAGTCATGATCTACATCTATAATAAATTGTTTACGTGCGTTCTATGTAACACAGTCATCTAGTAAAATCTTACCTTTTGTAAATTGCATTAAAATTACCGTTCCTTGTACAGTGACAATACTGTTTTCTCTGCCATAAAAGATTATTTAACGTTTTATTATGTTTTTTTATAATTATTATAACACAAAAACTTATAATTGTGTGTATCCGTAGGAATATAATTTATAAAAAAAAATATAACTTTAAATTTCTACACTATGCTCAATTTTTATTATAGGTCCTTGTATTTTTTTCAGTGTTTTAAGAAAACAAAAATATAGGAACATAGAATACACAAAAAAACGCAGAACTCAAAATTATATTTTTTTTAATTTATAATTATGCTCATGAAGTAAACCTTCTATCCCAATGTATAAAATATATTTGAAAAAAATTTAACTCCTCAAAATATAAAATATTTTGATGAAAATAAAATTTTATTAATAAAATATTTTTTAATATTGCATTTTTATAATATTCTCTCTCTTCAATGATAAATGGAACGTTAAGAACATTTTTATTTAAAAATAAATTTTTCTTTAACCCCTCGCACGGGGGATTTTTTATTAGTTCTTGACTTCTTGATTTCTAATCCTTGATTAGATTGGAATCAATGTATCGTATTCAATGTGAGTCTATGTACAATAGCATTCCTATTCAACGACTGTCTTTTTGCCCCCCAATGAATGTCTATAATCATGTTGGATCTGAAATCTATAATAGTACTTGTAATCTATGTGACACAATTTTTTATACTAAAAAAAATAAAAATAGAGTAAATAATAAGAGCCGATCTTTTATTTAAATAGAAATTCAGACTTTTAATTTTTTTTAAAAATAATTAAGTTTGAAAGTTTAGTCTTGATAAATTTTGTAAAAAAAGTTTAGGCTCGAGCTCAGGCCCTTTAAGCCCTATTATATTATTATTATTATTTTTGGTGGAACATACGTTTGAAGCTAAAGACTTGCTCGCCTGAAGCCCTGATCCTACAAGCATTATATTATTATTAATTTTAATTTATTCTATAATTAATTTAATATAATTTAATAAATATTAGTGTATAGTATAAAATTTTTGATATTTTTTATTTTTCTATAATTATTATGTTTGTGTATTTATAAAAAATGAATTGTTTTTTAATCAAGATTTAAATTTTATTACTAGACTTTTAAATGTGTTGTTTTATGTTTAAGAGATTATGGAAATTTTGATTTTTTTAATTTAAGAATATTTTAATTAATTTGTCATGCTTAATTTTATTTTAATTTTTTTAAACTTTTTAATATAAGGCTTACAAGCCTGACCCTGAGCTCTTCAAATAAGGGTTGAGCCTCAAAAAATAAATAAAAAAAAATCAAACTTAAGGTCTTAGGCCTTTATGGCCCGGGCTTATAAGGGTTGGCTCATAAGGGTCGACCCTAAAGCCGAAAAAATAGGTTGAGCCCGTGAGTTAGCCAGTTTAACTTACATAATTTGACGAGTTGGATTGAAAAAATTGACTCATTTTTTAAAACGAATTGGGTTAGCCCAACTAGCAAAATTATTTTTTTAATTTTTTTTAAACTTTTTTAATATAATGCTTACAAACCTGACCCTGAGCCCTTTAAATAAGGGTTGAGCCTCAAAAAATAAATAAAAAAATCAAACTTAAGGTCTTAGGCCTTTATGGCCCAGGCTTATAAGGGTTGTATAACACCCTGAAATTTACAGACCGATTATTCGCAAGTTATTAATTCAACAAATCTTTTTTTTTTTACTTTCTTTTTTTTCATTGAACCCTTATCATGGTAGAAAAATTTCTACCATGATACATCCAAGACAATATACCACAGGTCTTAAAATATCTCAAAAAGTAATTAAAACCATGAGGGACAGACATAATCCTCATAGCATGTTATTCAAATCAGATCATGAATTAAAAGAGACAGACATAATCCTCTTGGACATATAAATGCATTTAATAAAAAGGATTAAAGTTTACATGCTCCACAAAGAAGATATGTCCTAAGTTGGCACAAGATACATTGTATAATTCAAAATAAGAGGCAACGTAAAAGATGGTGTTTCATACACCATAATTACACTTCTGGTGCTTTTTTGGCCGGACTCGCTCCTGTAAAAATATTAACCACGGGGAATGAGACTTAAAAGTCCCAGTAATCAAAAATTAATATGTAATGATGCATGCGGATGTAACTAATCATGCGATTGCTAAGTGGGCACATAAAAACATTTAATCGAACCATATTTCCAAACAAACCAAATAAGTATTTAATTTGTATGACTGCACCTTATATCCTTCTTTCGCCATGCTCGGACGCCAAATCACCCGGCCAAAGGTGAGTTAGACTAAGCGACACGCCACTCATTGGGTTCAATGAGGGCTTACCACGTGGTAATAATTAACCAAACAGAAATTTCCATTAACACCATACATTAAATACCCTGACAAGTCATGCATCATTCAAATATCCAAACAGGAATATATCCAAACAATAATATCTCATCATGATAAACAAAAATAAATTTTTTAACTCACTTGGCAATAATTTCAAACAAGTATATACAGTATTTATTTTCAATAATTCATAATTTTTCCCAAACAACAAAACAACACATAACCATTTACAAACACACCCATCACAACACATTAATAATGGTTACCTTATGTCTTGAATAACAAGTTCCCCTTCACAACTCCTTTTTCACCACTATCTTTGTCAATATAATCTACATAATTATTTCACAATACTATATATTAATTTTACATTAAAATAAATAACTCTAATTTAAAGAGTTAGAAAGTCTTAGATCTATAATCCATATTAACACTAATTTAAGATTTATGCCTCATTTAACTTCCCAAATTCTTTTCTAAAATTCTCGTACCCTAATAAATTATTTTTTTTATCCTCAATTCACTTCTAGTATCACAATTTCATCCTTCTATATTCTAAAAATTTATCCAAAAATAAATTAAAAATTTTAAAATTATCCTGAAGCCTCAAATCACCTTTCTATAACCTCAAAAATACCTATTCATATTTAAATAAATATTTAATAATCTTTATCCCTACATCTCAGATTCCATATAAATTCAACCATATAGATCTAAATTTTAACTCAAAAATTCTTAAACATGAGTTTCGATCTCAAGAAAATATTCTATACTATTTATTATATCCCTAAGAGTTTTAACCTATATTTTTACTCTATCATATCATCAGATTAACTATCCTATAGAAAAATTTTAATCAGAATATTTACTCTATCCTACAAAATAATCATATCACTAGAAAGCTAATATTATTTAGAAAATAACTATAAAATTAATTTTGTAATTAAATAAATTTTTAAATGCTAATCTAAACAAAAAAAGTTAGAACATACCTGAAGAAAAAAAAATAATCTCCCCTTGTGAGAAAACGCCGAGCAACATGAGAGAAAAAGAGAAAAATAATATAAAAATAGAATTGTGGTCCCCAAATTATATTAAAAAAAACTATAGGTTTGAATTTAATTATTCAAACCTTTGGGCCAAAAGTTACGATTTTCTCTAAATTACATCTTAGCCTCTCATGCTTCCTAATGCACACACCCCCTCCATTTTATAGATGAAGGCACCTCTTCTCTTCTCTCATCTAACTAATGTGGGACTTAAAAACAACAACCTTCCACCCCCCTTTTTTTTGTTCCTTCTACCTTCTCTTTTTTTTAGCACACATAAAAAAATTATTTATGTATTATATCTTAACTAAATATTGCTTATGTGATTTTAAATTTAAATTTTTAAATTTATAGTTAAATACCTAACCATAATATCATTTCTAAATAACCTCAAATAATATAAATTTCTATTATTATCATTTTTTTTCCTCAAAACTTAAATTTCACAATTTCTTTATTATATAAAAATCAGGATGTTACAGGTTGGCTCATAAGGGTTGACCCTAGAGTCAAAAAATAGGTTGAGCCAAAGTTAGCCAGTTTAACTTGCATAATTTGACGAGTTGGATTGAAAAAATTGACTCATTTTTTAAAACAAATTGGGTTAGCCCAACCCGCAAAATTAGCAGGCTAAACAGGTTGGCCACGGGCTAGCATATTTTAAAAAATAATTTTTTATTTTTTATTACATTATATCTTTTTATAAACTATAATAATGATAATATTTTTTAAATATATAATTTAAGGCTCTCAAATATATTCTATACATTTGAAATATACTATAAATTCTTTTTACAATTTGCAAATAAAATTTTTATTATAGTTTGTGAAGATGATTTATTAGTTTTTATAGAAATATTTTAAATATATATTATTTATTAATCTCATAAGATCTATTAATTAAAATTATAAATATAAATTCATTGAGAAAAATAATATGGATTTATATTTAAATTTTCTTTCTCGGTGATAAAGATAGCACACCTAGACGAGAAGATGCTTGATAGTAAAAATCTAGTAAAATAAATTTCTTTGATTGAATTCTATATTTATTTTATTTATTTACAAATTTTTTAATACCTAATTTGCTTTAAATTATGAAAATATATATATATATATATATATTAAATTTTAAATTATTAAAAAAATTAATAATTTTTTGCGAGCCAGCCCATGAGTTGGTTAGCCCGAAAATGGGTTAGGTTAGATTTTTCAACCCGTTTTATTTGACGAGTTGGCCCAACCCAACTCACAAAAATGTCAGCTCACATGGACTAGCCTGCAGGTTAGCCCGTAACTCATTTGCCCAATTCGACTCGACATTGCCCGTTTCCTAACTTTATATGAGAGTAGTATATTATATTTTCAAACTAGAATTATTTTATATTATTTGTGAAGTCATGTATTATATCAATTAATAAATAATATTTTTTATATTTTATGATTTTTTATAATTATATTTATGATTATACTTCAAATATATTAATAATAGGATAAATAATATGATTTGTTATAATTTTATATTTTAAGTTGATATATTGATTAATAATTATGATATATTTATAGTTATTATGATTCATTAAGTCAAATCTTCACGTCAGGCTAGATTGATATTACAAGAATTAAAAAAATTAGATCGTTAGCCTATATTTTCCTCTTTTTCTTACAAATTCTAATGAGTTGTACTATTTATAATTAATAAATAATGTAGTTTACTATCTATTTTACATTGATATATCATATATGGATTACAATTTAGGATTACAAATAAATATGTCATGATAAAAAAATGATTAAAAATATCATTTTAAAATAAAAAATTATATAATTAAGATGCTTATTTTTAATTAAATTAAGGCATGTAAATTATTTATATATTATTTATTTTATAACAAGCACTTGTTATTAATTATAATCCATTTGTTTTGATTAATTAATTAAAAATATATTAAGTATATAAGATTAATTATCTAAGTCTTCTCCTTTAAAAAATTCTAAATAGAAATTAAATTTTCATTTCAGATGGTTTTAAGGTAAAAATCTTGATTTATTTATTTATATATTTCTTTTCCTTATGAATCACGTTCTTCTATTTTTCCAGCGCATCGCTGACTCAGATCAATAAACAAAATCCAAGAGACTACGGCTCGTAATGTTAAACAAAATTTTATTATGTAATTAATTAATTAATTAAATCTTATAAAAAAAATTACATTGGTTTACTTCTAGCTAGAAGATAAATAGCAGTATCACAATGCAGTAGCTTTAGGGTTTACATGTTTCAATTATTAGTGGTAAATATAAGTGAATTAATCATTGTTTTTCATTATTAAATTAATTTCGAAAATGATATCTATTAACAAAATATTCTCGTAAATATTGGGTCATCGACAAGTCTGAAATTTCCATGTTGAGAATGGATGGTTCCTCACAACCCAGAAATGAAACAGAAAATAATTTCTACTGTCGACTTTCCGTTCCCAGACTGAGCTATCAGTATCACAACAGATTTTTTTTTTTTTAATTTTTTGGGGGCTTGTTTACAGCTATCTTCTTCACGATTTTGGATAGGAGCGCTAGCTTGGCATTGATAAACGTTATACAATTTGTACACGAATAGCTTTCTGGAAGAAAGTGCTGTCATATATACTTCCAGGAAAAGGAGAAAGAGAAGAAGCGGAAGGAAAAGGAGAAGCATTCATAACGATGGTTCATCAGAACATTCAGAACGATTCAAGAAGAAAGAAGATACTTGTTGAGGAGCAATCTCCTCTGCTAGTCAATCAGAAAGATGTGGGTTCTCAGGGGGCATCTTTTAGTGGGTCAGTGTTCAATTTATCTACCACCATTATTGGGGCTGGAATTATGGCCTTACCTGCTGCCATGAAAGTTCTGGGATTGGGTTTGGGAATTATCGCCATAGTCTTTCTTGCGTTGCTTACTGAGACTTCCTTGGAGATTCTGATAAGGTTTAGCAGAATAGGGAAGGCTGGGACCTATGGAGAGGTGATGCGATATGCCTTTGGAAGTGTTGGAAGATGGGCTTTTCAGATATGCGTTCTTCTTAACAACTTCGGGATTCTCGTCGTCTACATGATCATAATCGGTAATGCATTTTTTTTATTGATGAGTTGTTCTTTAAGTAATTGCATTCCTCCGTTCCCACTTTTCTGGAAATCATACCGTTGCATAGAAGGAGGATACCCAATCCTAGAATAAAGAATATGGGTGATTCTGGGTATTGATAGCAGGTAGTAACTAGATATTCTCAGATCATGAATCAAGTCTTGTTATCAGTAATACTTGTTCAGATTATTGTTGTACTGTGGCTTCATAGAATTTGGAGTATTTTTTTATATGATTGCAAATGGTTGTACTTTGGCTTCACAGAACTTTGGGATTCTCTAGTATTAGAAATTCCTTTACATAAGTTTTAAGGACTAAACTTGTTTGGATTGGTCTGCTAATTGATTACAAGGTGATGTGCTATCTGGAACATCTTCAAATGGAACTCATCATTCTGGTGTATTGGAAGGATGGTTTGGCGAATACTGGTGGACTGGGCGTACTTTTATTCTCCTGGTGGCAACCGTATTTGTATTTGCTCCTTTGGCATTCTTCAAGCGGATAGGTAATTTCCTTTCTGCTTATTGCGAACCACTCAACCACAACATGGTCTTTTTAAGTCAAACATGATATGTGGTCATTGATTTGTTATTGTCAATAACCTGCAACCTGTTTCTATGCTTGCAGATTCTTTGAAATACACTTCCGCTTTAGCAGTGGCCCTGGCAATTGTATTTATAGTCATAACTGCAGGGATAACATTTATAAAATTGTTTAATGGTAGCATTGCCAGACCCAGGTTGCTTCCTAATGTTACTGATTTTACATCTGCATGGAAGCTCTTTACAGCAACCCCTGTTCTTGTGACAGCATTTGTCTGCCATTACAATGGTATGCCACCTGAATGTAACTTGGAATTTACAAATCTTCAAGTGCTCTTATGGTTGTAAAAATTTTCAAGTTGAAATTCAACAACATATGATAGATTTTGAACTTGAGGTTAAGAGGAAGGATAAAACCAATTTTTCCCACTGCTTTTTATTTTGGTTCACATTTTGCTGTAGATCTAAGTCCTAGTAGCAACTAGCACGGGTTTCCTTGCTGAATTTTTTTGACGTCTTGTTGAGATTTGAGATGCATAATCAGCTTAAAAGACATGAAGTGTAAAGCACCTTTATTTCAGTGTTAATTGCTTGGGAGTACAGAATATACTCAAATTTATAAATTTCTGTTTGTTTTATATTTATATTTTTTTATTTTCCATTTTGATTATACCAGTGGTTCTTGCTTAATTATGCCTTTTTCTATCAAAAGCCAATTTAAATCTAGACTAATGCTTTATTTGCCTCTCTACTATTACCATCGAACACAAATTACCTTCAGAACTCTCTCTCTCTCTCTGTCTCTCTGTTTTTCTTTTTCCCTCAATATCATGCCTGCAAGATTATTTATATTCTTCATTGAACAAACAATATCGCCGAGCAATTTTAAGTGCTGGAAGGATGTGATTCATCAAAGTTATGTCTCTTGCAGTGCATACAATAGACAATGAGCTGGCAGACTCTTCCTTGATACAAAAAGTAGTGCGTGCATCTCTGGCCCTATGTTCTAGCATCTATATATTTACGGCCTTATTTGGGTTTCTTTTATTTGGTGAATCAACTCTTGATGACGTCCTGGCCAACTTTGATACTGACCTTGGCATCCCTTACGGCAGCCTGTTCAATGACATTGTTCGCATCAGCTATGCTCTTCACCTCATGCTTGTTTACCCAGTTATCTTCTTCTCACTGCGCTTCAATTTAGATGATCTACTTTTCCCTTCAGCTAGGTCAATGGATTTGGATAATGTTAGGTTTGTGCTGATCACAACTGGACTCATCTCTTTTATATATGTGGCGGCAAATTTTATACCTAGCATTTGGGATGCTTTCCAATTCACTGGAGCAACTGCTACTGTTTGCCTAGGGTTCATTTTTCCTGCTGTTATTGCCCTAAGGTAAGATTTTTACGGTTCCTCAAATCTCTTTTTCCCAGTCATCTTGTAATGGTGACCATGTTGTGTTCATGTTATGTGTGAGCCGTCGCCTAGATATTTATTTTTATGTTAGGGAATTTATGCTTTCAAGCATTATGATTAACCTTATTGGAATCCTCAGAAATAACTAAGGTATTTCCTAGGGTGAGCACCAAGGATACTTCCTAGTTGAATGGTTAGAGACTAGACCCTTTCGAGGCGTAGAGATTATACATCACGCTTCAGCATTTATCAATATTTGGTTTGGTGTACTTATCTTTAATATGCCTGACTTCATTGTAGTAATCTTGCCGTATTTTAAGTGCTTCAAACTTCAATGCTGCATCAACTCTCCTACTGATGTCCCTGTTTCTGCCATCTTTCAGGGATCCTAATGGCATTGCAACAAAGAAAGATAAGGTTTTATCTATCGTCATGATTGTGCTGGCTGTGTTCTCAAATGTGGTGGCCATATACAGCAATGTTAATGCTATCTTTAGCAAAAATGCTGATCCTCATGAATGATCACTCGTATTGGCTCGGTCAGCGTTGACAGATGAGACCATTTTCTTGGAACAAACATTTTCATGGCCTCTGACCATAGAGTGAGTTTTGAGATCAAGAGTTTACTCATTTGCGGAATCGAACGACAAAGAACTTGTTTGTTTTTCCTTGCATTGTAAGAATTCGATTAAATAAATAATTATATTGCGTGGTTTTTTGGTGCTGTGATTTAACTAATTTCATTTGCATATCGTTTCTTTGGCTTTATGATGTTTATGCAGAACCTTGAATTCTGTGTTCGTATTTGCACACTCATGTCAGCAAGACTGAAAGTAAACTAACGTAAAATTATTAAATGAAAACTTTGGAAATGTAGGATACGAAATTGGAATAAATAAAAATTAAGGGACAGATGAAAAGTTCATTCGCTCCCATGACACGCTTCGTAGTTTCCCCAATATTCTAGATCAATCCAACAAAATGAAAAAGTAAAAATGTTTCTATTGGGGCACATCTCAAGTGAAAAAGTAAAAAAAAATGTTTCTTTTGGCATTATTTATTCTACATGTTAATTTAAATGATGAAACCACAGCTATTTTACAGTTCCTACGGTATAACGGTACATTCTGCTAAGCCACCCCTTCCCTCTAAGGCAAAACAGAATACAAGAAAAATATATCAAAGACATGTAAAAAGGCAATAAAAAGAATCGTGACAACTCATTTTGGCCTACTTGTTTGCAAGGGCAGTGTAGAATAGATTTGCCTTCTGGAATAAAATAGCAAGGCTTCAATCAATCGTCTTGTTTTGCATCTAATCCGAGCAAATTCGCAGACCATTTGTGAAAGTCCATTTGGAGTGCCCTCCGGTGATCTCAAGTTGAATCACCCCTTTTCTTCGTATCCTTCATAAATAGTTAACAAGTAGCATATGAATGGAGTCCAATCGAAAGGACATCTCTTGAAAACATCCAATGCCATGACAACAATGTATTTACAGAAGATCGTCGGGCTCCAAATTTCGCTCTGCAATTTTCTTTCATGTACATGCCTGTCTTCATGGCTATTGAAATCTGCATTTTTCTTTCATGTACATGCCTGTCTTCACGGCCATTGAAATCTCTCGTGCCCATAGAAGATATAATAAAAATATCATCCTTGGGACTGAACTCCAGGAGGAGGAAGAACAAGAACGGCAAGTTGAGTTTTCAAAAAATCTAGTTGAAAAAGTAGGTTGAATTTAGAACCTCTCGTAGATCGAAGTCTCCTCGGGCAGGTAAAGGGGGAAAATTCAATGATGGAAAAGATTTCTGAAAGCCCTCTAACAACTGTAAAGGGGCGAAAAAAAGGGAAACATCATGATTAAACAGGACTCTAAGCCAAAAAGTTAGTATGATCAACATGCTTATTGCCATTGGTAAGTAGAATATCCAAGTATAAAAACCTCATAAGTAAGACAAGTACTTTTAATATATTTCGTGGAGTAGAGAGTAGCATGATAGGATGACATAAAAGATAAACTTCATCCAATTCCAGGGACCATAGAAAGTTCCGTAAGCAGTCAACCACTTTCATTTGATATGTAGTTAGCGCTAAGATTTGTTTTTTGGAAGAATAACAGTTAAGTCCCAACAGAGGAAATTAATAACAATTAAGTCCTCGGTAAATTTTTTTTGAAAAATCAGTTGTAAATTTTGATTCAAATAGTTGCAAATTTAATAGTTTCAACCGCAAATACAATATTTCAATTCTAAATATAACAATTAGTTTGCAATTTGGATTCCTGTTTATAAATGTTTGAATTGATATTTGCAATTCATTTTATAGAAAATTTTATCGAGGACCTAACTTTCATTAATTCATTTTTTTGATACTTTATTGTCATTCACCCTTTTTTTTAACCCAGCATGCCAGCAAAACAAAGAAATAAATTATTGGATTTGACAATATTTTAGAAAAACTCCGCCTATGTTTATAGCCGGTCCCAAGCCCGGGTAAAGGAGGAGGGTTGTGTTAGGCCATCAACAGCCAATGTAAAAATTTGTTGAATCTATCATGAACATGGACAATAGACGTTATAATGTTAATGCTAGGTCGTTGCCCGTAAGTAACGCGCTGCATGGCTCGAGTACAGTGATAAGTGAGTTAGAGCCGCTGCATCGGCGCCCGGATGTAGTGTTAAATGAGCAAGGGCTACCGCGTCATTCTGGACGCACGCGGCTAAAGAAGTTAGTCCATAAGAGCAAAATTAGATTTGGTACTTGGAATGTTGGGACATTAAATTGTAAATCTGTAGAGGTTGTAGGGGTTATGATTCAAAGGAAAATCAATATCCTTTGCTTGCAAGAAACAAAATGGCGTGGAGAAAGAGCTAAGGATATTCAAGGTTTCAAACTTTGGTATACAGGAAAAGTAAGTGCACGCAATGGAGTAGGCATCATTATAGATAAGGAGTGGAAGAAGAACGTTGTAGAAGTTAGCAGAATTGGAGACAGAATTATTTCTTTAAAAATGATAATTGGACGTGAGACTGTTAATATTGTTAGCGCTTATGCGCCGCAAGTCGGGACAGAAGCCAGTCTTAAGGAATTATTTTGGGAGGATCTGGAGGGGTTGATTCGACACATACCACAGAGTGAAAAGATTTTTATTGGAGGAGACTTTAATGCGCATGTCGGGAGGGAAGCTGGTCAGTATGCGAGGGTGCATGGTGGTTTTGGTTTTGGAGAGCTAAACAATGAAGGGCAAACTCTTCTTGATTTCTCATTGGCGTATGATTTTAAAATTGCCAACACTTGTTTCAAGAAGAGAGATGAGCATCTCATCACTTACAAAAGTGGAGCCTCAAGGTCGCAGATTGATTTTCTTTTGGTTAGGAACACAGATAGAAAACTTTGTAAAAATTGTAAGGTGATCCCTGGAGATGCTGTAACGACACAACACAGGGTCCTAGTCCTTGATGTGTGTATTATGAGTAAAATCCAAAAACGTCGACAAGTAGTAACACCAAGGATTAGGTGGTGGCAATTAAAAGGTGAGAAGCAAGATATTTTCAAGCAAAATCTTTTGGATAAAGGAATTTGGGATTCTCAGGGAAGTGCTAACATCATATGGGAGGATATGGCTAAAAAGATACGGGAGGTTGCAAAAGTAGTTTTGGGAGAATCGAAAGGTTCTGGTCCGAGAGATAAGGAGTCTTGGTGGTGGAATAATAGTGTACAGGACAAAATCAAGTATAAGAAGAACTGTTTTAAAGCCATACATTTGTGTAACAATGAGGAAAATTGGGAGAGGTACCGTATGGCTAAGAAGGAAACTAAGAGAGCTGTGGGTGAAGCTCGTTCCAAAGCTTTTGAAGAATTTTATAAGAACCTTGAGACGAAGGAAGGAGAGCAAAATATTTATAAGATTGCCAAGAGTAGGGAAAGAAAATCAAGAGATCTAGAACAGGTAAGGTGTATTAAGGATGAAGAGGGAAGAATTTTAGTTACAGATGATGAAATTAAAAATAGATGGGAGACTTATTTTTCTAAACTTTTCAATGATGGAGAGGATTCATCTAGTAACTTGGAGGATTTAGTAACTGGTGAAGGAGAACAAAATTTGTCATTCTATCGAAAAATACGTGATAAGGAGGTAAAGGAAGCTCTTAAGAAAATGGCAAATGGTAGAGCTAACGGACCTGATTGTATATCTATCGAAGCGTGGAAATGTTTAGGTGAAGAAGGGGTGAGATGGTTAACTAAGTTATTTAATGTGATTTTACGGTCCAAGAAAATGCCTGATGAGTGGAGGAGAAGTACATTAATTCCTATTTATAAAAATAAAGGAGATATTCAGAATTGTACTAACTATAGAGGGATTAAACTCATGAGCCACACAATGAAATTGTGGGAGAAAGTAATTGAGCACAGGTTGAGATTGGAGACAAGTATTTCTGAGAATCAATTTGGTTTTATGCCAGGTAGATCAACTACAGAGGCGATTTATCTACTAAGGGGATTAATGGAAAAGTATCGTTGTAAAGATAAAGATCTACACATGGTTTTTATTGATTTGGAAAAAGCTTATGACCGTATACCAAGAGAAGTGCTTTGGAAAGCGTTGGAAAAAAAGGGAGTACGGATTGCTTATATTAAAGCCATACAAGATATGTATGAGGGGGTAAAAACTAGTATAAGAACGCCTAGTGGTCAAACAAAGGATTTTCCTATAAAGATTGGACTACATCAGGGATCATCTCTGAGTCCTTATTTGTTCAACTTGATTTTAAATGTTTTGACGGAACATATTCAAGAGGAAATCCCGAAATGTATGCTCTTGCGGATGATATAGTTCTTATAGCAGAGACAAGAGAAGAGGTTAATTGCAAACTTGAGTTATGGAGGAGGACATTGGAGTCGAAAGGTTTTCGTCTGAGTAGAAGTAAGACGGAATATTTATATTGTAAATTTGGTAAAGGACTATTCGAAAATAATTTGGAAGTGAAATTGGGAGATCAAATTATACCTCAAGTGGAAAAGTTTAGATATTTGGGAGCCATTATTCAAAATGATGGCGAAATCAGTGGAGATATTTCACATAGAATTCAAGCTGGGTGGTTTAATTGGAGAAAAGCTAAAGGAGTTATTTGTGACCGTAGGTGCCTAATAAACTTAAAGGAAAGTTTTATCGTACTGCTATCAGACCGGCAATGTTATATAGTAGTGAATGCTGGGCTCTAACGGGACAGCAAGAGCATAAAGTTGGAGTAGCAGAGATGAGAATGTTACGATGGATGTGCGGACATACACGTAAAGATAAAATTCGAAATGAGCACATACGTGAAAAAGTGAGGGTGGCACCTATTGAGGAAAAAATGGTAGAAAATCGGTTGAGATGGTTTGGGCATGTACAAAGAAGACCAAGGGAGGCACCAGTGAGAAGAGTGGAACATATAACTTTGAGTCCGATTAAGAGAGGTAGAGGAAGGCCTAAGAGAACACTCTTGGAAGTTGTTGAACGTGATCTCTTAATTAATAATATTTCTAAAAGCTTAATAAATGATAGAGCACAATGGCGTCTTGCAATCCATGTAGCCGACCCCACCTAGTGGGATAAAGGCTTGTTGTTGTTGTTGTTGTTGTTGACAATATTTTAGAAAACCAATAGTTCTCACGAGGCACATGTACAATCTCATCAGACTTAAAAGCACAACAAATTAAAGAAAATATATTAGCAAGGCAATCCAACATCTGG